TTTAAACGAATTATACGATTGTATTGATAACATCAAACGTTTATTTAAATATACAAGAGTTACGTATTAATACGAAAATTGAATTACGTCGTAAAACGGAAACGGAAATATTTATTTTAAACGAAAGAGAGAGAGAGAGAGAAAACAAAAAGGGTTGAAATTCTTATTTTTTTAAGGAAAAAGTTATCTCATCGCGATTATTATTCAAAGTTTTTATTTTATTTTATTTTTATATATATAGAAAAACCTTTTTTTTTTTATTTTCGCCTCCCCCCCCATTTTTCCTTCGCCTCTCCCTCTCCCGAAAATTCCCCGATTTTTTGCCTTAAAAAAAAAAAAAAAGGTTTTTTCAAATATATGTAGGTTCGTTCGTTGTTTTCATGAATATTTTCACGAAAGGGTTAAAAATTTCAATAAAAAATTGTTTTTCCCTTAAGAATTTCCTTTTTTCCCTTTTCCTTTGTCTCGGATTTTATTTTTCCTTTGAAAACCGGCTTGGCCGAATCCACGTATGACGGACGAATTTTTTATTTTTATTCTATTAATTGCTTTCGTGTCTTTAGATTATTATTTTTCAACAGTTTCTTATAATCTAAAACCACGATACGAAAAAGTTTCGATTATTATTATTATTATTATTAATTTTTATTATTTTTTCACCGAAATTATTTTCTTTTCAAATTTCCTCTTTTTGCCACACCTCAATTCGTTCGAATCGTTATTATTTTTATTATTATTATTTTTTTTTTTCTTTCGCGGAAAATTTTCATTAATAAAACAAACAAACAAACAAACAAACAAGCAAGCAAATTGAAAAAAATTATTTTTAATAGAAAAAAAGGAAAAAAAAAAATCGTTTTCCTTTTCATATTTTCTCACTCTTTTTCTTCACCTTTACTTTTGTTACAAACAACATACAACATGTGAAGTGTAAACAAACAAAACACACAACAACAACAACAACAACAACATGCTAAAAAGCAAGAAAATATGAAAATAGCAAAAAAAGGGAAACAACGATGATGAATTTTTCATAAGGTTTTAATGATGAAAAATAAGAAAATGATGAAAATAAAAAAAAAAATTTTGCTGTTGTTGCTGTTGTTGTTGTTGTTGTTGTTGTTCATCCTTAAATCGTTAGTTAGTTGAGGGTCGCATCCGGAAAATTAAAAAAAAAAAAAAAAAAAAGAAAATTTTAATTAATGTGCATTTAAAAAACCAAAAAGAAAGGAAAGGAAAAATGGGGGAAAAGTTTTTTTTTTTTTTTTTTTTTTTTTACCTTTGGCAAAGTTTTTGTTTGTTCATAAAAGATAATTAACGATAAACTTTAATTAAATTTCATTGAATTTTGTATGTGTTGGTTGGGAAAGAAAATGTGTGCACATTGCCACAATCGTTACGTATTATTATCATTATTATTATTATTATTATTTTGTTCTTCTTTTTGTTAACGCCAAAAATTTTTTTTTATTCGAAAAAAGAGGGTGGGAAAATTTTTTTTAAATGTGTTCTTGGTGAAAATTAATGTTTTTAAAACACGAAAAATATTTGAGAAGATTCGAGTGGGCTCCCTTTTAAAAATTTTAAAAATTTTAATCGTCTTTATTATTATTATTATTATTATTATTATTATTATTATTATTATTATTATTATTATTATTATTATTTTAATGAAGACGAGTTTATTGTGGTTGTTGGAGTTTTCCAAGTTTCGTTCCAAGGTTTCTATCTCTGTTTTTCAATGTACATGCTTGACCATCGATTGTGTTGTTTTCTTAAACTCTTTCATCACCTACGCATTTTCCGGGAAAATTTTTTTTTTTTTTTTTAAATTGACAGTTAATGATTGTGGCAGGTTGGCTCTCTCTCTCTCTCTCTCTCTCTCTCTCAGCTCTTCCGATGGAGTATTATTATCGTTTCACACTTTTCCACATTTTGCCAATTTCAATATCTTCGAATTCCAGAATTTTTACCTTTTTTCCAGTTCTCCGACTTTGGTTTCGCGGCTTTTTCGCGGGTACGAATGCTTGAATTAATCTTTTAGGGTTATTAGGGGATGGTTTTAGGGCGACATCCGGTTTTTGTCGCCTTGGCACAGTTTCGTGAATGTTTTCCTATAAAAAAATTTTTTTTTTTTTGAATTACGTCCGGCAGAAAAAGATTTCGACCTAGTTTTCGATAAAAAAAATTTTTTTCGTCACGCATTTTTTTTTTTTCCTCCATAATGATTTTCATTTTTTTTTCTCCCGTCCAAAATATTTTTGGGGTGAGGGGTGGTGGTGGTGAGTTAAAATGGATTCATAATGAGATACGATGGTTATTTTTATTTTTAGTTTTTTTCTTTTTTTTTTTTTTTTTTTTTTTTTACATTTATAAAGTTAAGTAAATTTGATTGTCTTCGCTTCAAAGCCATTTTTTTTCTCTTCCTCGATTCTCGTAGATAATTTCATTAAAAAAAAAAAAAAGAAAATCAATTTTATATTACTTAACCTTTAGAAAGAAAAAAATGAAAAACTTTCATTATTATTATTATTTTGTTTTGTGTCGGACGAGTCTATGGAGAAAAAAGAAAAAAAAAAGTTTTACCGTGAGATTTTATTTTAAAAAAAATTTTTTTTTGAATTTGTTAAACTCTTTTCTTTTTTTTTCTCGAACAATGCAAGGAGGCAAATTGAATTTTTCTTTTTTTTCTTGTTTTTTTACTCATGACTACACAAATTCAAAAGTTCATCCCATAAAAAAAAATGAATGGAAGAAAGAAAAAAATTCTTGACACAAATTCCTGGTTCGTATTGAAAAATATGAGGAAAAAAAGAAAGATGATGATAATAATGATAATAAATAAAAATTATGTGATATTGTTTCTTATTATACTCATAAAATTCCAATGATGTTGTGACTTCACGTCGAAAATTTGTTTTTTTCTCTTTTTCAATTAAAATTTTTTTATTTTTTTTTCGTACCGTTACGTCGTCTGTCGTAAATTTAAAATAACAAATAAATAATAAAAATAAAAAATAAAATTTTTACACTCGCGTTGGGTGTTAATCAATTTTTTTATAACAAAAAAAAAAAAAATGAAAAAATTATGTCTTACACGACACGTCGTTTTTTTGCGATGGATGGAAAAATTTTTTTATATATAAAAGCATATTAAATTTCTTTTGGTGTTTTGAAAATAGGTCAAAATATGAGTTCAAGAAAAAAAATAAAAGAAGAACACGAAGAAAAAACGACAACAACAACAACAAGAAGTTTGGAAAATAAATCGGAAAAGTTTTAATTTTTTTTCCGCCATCTTTTTTTTTTTTTTTCGTAAACGAAAATTCGACGAGTTTATCATCCCAACGATGATTTTTTTTTTTTTTTGTATAAATTGTAATTATCGTCACAAATGACGTCATTGAATTTTTTTTTAATGCCGGTTTCGAACGAGTCATAAAAAAAAAAAAAAGAAAATGACGTTTTTAATAATGACAATCAATATGAAAAACGATCGGATTAAAATGTTCATCGAATATTCTCCACATTATTATTATTATTATTATTATTATTATTATTATAACCATTGTATTCGTATTACGTAAAAGTGTTATTATTTATTTATTTATTAACGGTTTTAATTTTTTTAAAATAATAATCGGGATAACGATTAAATAACGATTAGCCTTAGGGAAAAAAAAAGGGAAACACGATTAAATAACAATACGTCATCATCTTTTTAATAAATAATAATAATTATTATTTTTTTTATTTATATTAATGAATTATTATAATGGGGGGAGAGGGGGAAAGTGAAAATAATACCGTCGGAAAATTTTAAAAAAAAAAAATAATAATAATAAGCTTTTTCCAATTATTTCAATAGGAAAAAGAAAAAAAAATTAATTGGGAAAGGAAAGGATCGGAAAATGTGGGGGGAAAAAAAACGTTGAATTTTGGCGACGCAGGGAAAATTATCGCAATTTTACATTTTGTACGAACGTGACGTAAACGTATGACGTAACAACAAGTGAAAATTTTTTTCTTTTCCAAATCTGTCGTAACGTTTTCAGTTTTTTTTCTATTTT